AGCTCTCCCGAGAGGGGAGACGGAGCAGCAGCTCTCCCGAGAGGGGAGACGGAGCAGCAGCTCTCCCGAGAGGGGAGACAGGAGACGGAGCAGCAGCCCTCCCGAGAAGGGAGACGGAGCAGCAGCTTTCCCGAGAGGGGAGACGGAGCAGGAGCCCTCCCGAGAGGGGAGACGGAGCAGGAGCCCTCCCGAGAGGGGAGACAGAGGAGCAGCTCGAGTACGTGTCCAAGGAGGCCGCCAGCACAGAACCAGCCAGGGCCTCAACGATAGCCATGCCAGCCTCCTCCTTCACAAGCAGGGAAACCGAGGCCCAGACTGGTCTCTGTTCAGCCTCCACCTTCTTCCAGCCCAGCCTTCCTCCAAGGCTCCCTCCGACCCTCCCCAGCCAGTGACAGAGTGGGTGTACGGTGACCTGAGACCCGTGTGACTATGCAGGGTCCCCATGAGCGCTCAGGCTCGGGCCTTCCTGCCACCCTCCACCAGGCGGGCCCACATGCAGCTTAGATGGCTCCTTATGGGATGATGCTTTCCAGGCTATAGCTGCAGAAGACCTTCCTCAAAGGACACGTGAGTGACGGGGAGGGGGGGGAAGCTGCCTACGGCGGCGCCTCAGCAGCACGCTAGAAGCGGCCTCATCCCAGCTCTCCTGCAGCACGTTCTGAAGAGCAGCTGTGAGCTGGGCTTCTTCCAGGACAGGACAGGCCGCGCAAGGAAACCCGGACAGCTGGCCTTGGGGCCGGGGCGAGTGGGCACAGAGGTGCAGCCTGCAGGGCTGCTCTTGGCCAGAGGACTCGAGATTAGATGCCCCCAAAGGGAAGGCACGTGTGTGTGGTGTGGACGCGGGAGGTCTGTGGGGTCCTCAGATGGGGGGTGCAGGGCGGGGTCTGGAGTGTTCTGGCAGTCCTGGGGTGTGGTGCCTGCCAAAGGCCATTCTGAGCAGAGGAACCTTGGTCCCAGGAAAGCAGCTGGTGGCGGTCACCAGCATGACCACACTGCCACGTTGTCTTGTCATCATTCCAATCTCTGCTTCTGACTGGGCTCTGGGAACATGGCTGCAGCTGGCAGGCCCCGGGGCTTCCGCAGTGGCATACAACACCCTGCCCAGCTGTCGTAGCCGTCACCCTGAACGGCAGCGCCACGCCACACCCCGCCCGCCCTGCACCCCCCATCTGCCTTGTTGTGGAGAGACCCGATAATTATCTGCAGGAGATGTTTTCTGTCTTGGAAAACCCAGAGGAGAAGCACTTGTGCTGGAGACACAACCCACGGAGCATTCCTGGAGTTCAGAAAAAGTGGAACGAGCCTGAGTCTGGAGCCAGGGCTGAGAGTGGCATGCCAGGCGGGTTCCAGGGGGCAGGGAGGCTCCTTAGGATGTGCCAGCCTTCACAGTGCAGGGAACCCTGGCCGCCACCGTGCCTGGCACCCTGGTTTGTGCCCAGCCTCTCTGCAGAGGTGGGCGGTGCCAGCACCCTCCTGAGAGTGAGGCCTTGGTCTCCTGTCCTTGCTGTGCCCAGGCATAGCCTGTCTCAGGGCCGGAGGGTGCTTGTCTTACCAAGAATTTTGTGCAGATGGTGGATTTGTCGCTGCTCAGAACCTCAGAATGTCCCCATGTGGGATCCCTGACATGTCCTGGGTTCCTGTCTTTAGGCATCTGGGTCACAGGCCCCAGTTCCACCCGCTGAAGCATGGATTTGATGAGTGGTTCGGATCCCCCAACTGTCACTTTGGACCTTATGACAACAAGGCCAGGCCCAACATCCCTGTGTACAGAGACTGGGAGATGGTTGGCAGGTAACGGGGTCCCGCTCCACCCCTTTCCTTCCCGGGCCCTGAACCACGGTGCCTCGTGCACCTGCCCCCTGCCCTGCGTCTGGCGCTGGTGGCCTCAAGCCGCCTGCTCACAAGGACTAGGCTAGGCTGGCCCAGGTTTGGAGGGCTTTGTTTTGGCGGCTTCTGTCCCACAGAGTTTTGCCGCAGACTGTGAGACTTGCGCCTGGGGTGGCTTCCAACCGTCTCAGAGTCGTAGATCACTTTAACTGTCCTGACAGTGGAAGGCCCCCAGCACAGCGAGCCCACGCCATCTGCACTCGCTGCCGGGGTTCTGCCCATGTGGTCCACGCGTGGGGAGGCTGGCTGTGCTCTGGACGTCCAGGGATACAGGCAAGACAGAAGGTGGGATGAAACCCCACTGTGAGCCGCACCAGGAGCAAGCGGGTGTCCGGACGGAGCCATCTGGTGCCTGGGTGTGGGGCAGCACCTCTGACGGGGCAGTGCCCCGGTCAGGGACCCTCATCTTTTGTGAATTTTGTTTGGCTTAACTTGACTCTTCTTTTTTTTTTTTTTTTTGAGACACAGCCTCCCACTGTCACCCAGGCTGTAGTGCATTGGCAGGATCTTGATTCACTGCAACCTCCACCTTTCAGGTTCAAGCAATTCTTCTGCCTCAGCCTCCCAAGTAACTGGCACTACAGGCGTGTGCCACCACACCCAGCTAGTTTTTGTATTTTTAGTAGAGATAGGGTTTCACCATGTTAGCTGGGATGGTCTCGATCCCTTGACCTCGCGATCCGCCTGCCTAGGCCTCCCAAAGTGCTGGGATTACAGGTGTGAACCACTGCGCCTAGCCAGCTTGACTCTTCTTGACGGAAGCGCTCATTCATTACGTGACAGTGGGCCAGCAGCAGCACCGGCTTGCTGCCTTTTCCGGACAGAGCTCCGTAGGGGTGTGGGAGTCTCCATCCCTGTTTGAAGTGTGCAGTTCTGTGGTTTGCAGTAGCAGGAGGCTGCGACAGCCAGCACTGCAGCCGTTTCAGAGCTGACCCCGCAGCCTAAGCCGTCGCTCCCCAGTCCCAGCCCTGAGTAACCACAGCCGCTTCACTGCCTTCACCCTAGTGTCGCGCCCACTGTCCTGTGCCCGCGTCTTCCCCCAGGCAGGTTATTACAGCACCTCAGCCAGGTCATCAGATGCAAGACTGTGCCCTGGGGAGCAAGGCCCGTGTCCAGCTTGCTCTGTTTCCTGAGTGGACATTTCATTTCCAGCCTTCTTCACCCCCCCAACCCAAATTGATTCTGGCTCTGTCACCCAGGCTCGAGTGCAGTAGCATGATCTTGGCTCACTGCAACCTCTGCCTCCTGGGTTCAAGCAATTCTCCTGCCTCAGCCTCCCAAGTAGTTGGGATTACAGTCGCCTGCCACCACGCCCGGCTAATTTTTGTATTTTTAATAGAGACAGGGTTTCTACATGTTGGCCAAGCTGGGCTCAAACTCCTGGCCTCATCATCCACCCTCCTCAGTCTCCCAAAGTACTGGGACTACAGGTGTGAGCCACCATGCCCGACCCCAGCCTTTGCCGGTGAAGTCAGGGAGAAGGGGACTTCCTTGGCCTAAGTTCTGACGTCTGTCTGGATCTGTATTCTCTTCAGATATTATGAAGAATTTCCTATTAATCTGAAGACCGGGGAAGCCAACCTTACCCAGATCTACCTGCAGGTGACAGGACTGCACAAGCTGCGCTCTGTGGGAGGCGTGGGGAGGTGGCCTCAGGCCGGAGGAGGACAGTGCGGCTCTCTCCACAGGAAGCCCTGGACTTCATCAAGAGACAGGCGCAGCGCCGCCCCTTCTTCCTCTACTGGGCTGTGGACGCCACGCACGCGCCCGTCTACGCCTCCAAACCCTTCCTGGGCACCAGCCAGCGAGGGCGGTGAGTCCTGACTCCAAGGAGCACAGACTGGCTGGAGGCCCCAGCTGTGCTTGACTCCTGCAGAGATGGGGCGCTCAGTACCGTGGCGTTTAGTTCCCATGATGGAAAGGCCAGAGCAGCCCTGCCCCTTTGAAGCCGTCTGCCGGCCTGGGCTCAGCAGTGGAGGGCTGCGGTGGGTGTCCGGGCTTTGTCCCTTCTAAGCCACGTGAACTTGAACTCAGGCCTCTCCTCTTGTTCTGGGAAGTGGCAGGCAGTTTCACTGCCGTCTGTGACATTGTGATTTAAGGTACTCCGTGAATCACAGTGTGCCACTGGCCGCCCGATCCATCTGTCACCATCCCCCCAGGTACGGAGACGCTGTCCGGGAGATTGATGACAGCATTGGGAAGATGCTTCAGCTCCTCCAGGACCTGCGCGTCGCGGACAACACCTTCGTCTTCTTCACGTCGGACAATGGCGCCGCCCTCATTTCTGCTCCTGAGCAAGGTGAGCACTCACCGCCGCTTCCCATGGTTTCTTCGCAGCCAGCACGTCACTGAGAACGCCTGGACTGGCTGTGACACAACCCGCAGGGTCTGTAGTGGGCGGAGCTTGAAGGTCCCTCCAGGTCCAATGTGAGGAGCAGATGTCACCCAGCCTCGAGCAAGGCTGGTGGCCCTTCCGGCCCAGGACTAACCTGGAAGCAGGAGTGGCTTTGAACTTGGGAGCGGGGAGGAGGTGACACGGGAGAAAGTTTGTCTTGAAAGAGGCTGACACCTCCCGAGGGGTGACCCCGGAGACTAGAGGCTTTGTAGCCTGGGTGGAAAAACAGGGCCAGTGGAGCGAGGTGTCCCTGCAGAGATGGGGACAGGCACCCAAGACCCAGAGCAGCTCTGCAAGTTTGGCCTGGGCCTGGTCACCCAGGGGCCAGGGCCTGAGTCATGAACATGGCTCCTGCCCCCACCACGGCCCCGTCGAGCCGTTCCCGGGATGGAACACCTCAGCCTTTCTCCCACTCAGTACTGAGGAACGCCTGACCCATCCCCCGCACCAACCTGAACTTGCCACTTCCCAGACCGCGAGGGGGGCCCCTGCAGCCCAGTGTTCTTCGGGGAAAGAGGGCTTCAGGGTTTCAGGTGATAGAAACCAGCACAGCTAGGCCGGGCGCGGTGGCTCAAGCCTGTAATCCCAGCACTGTGGGAGGCCG